GTATAGTTTACAACATGAGCGGCCGTGTTGTATGGGAATTACAATCTCGAGCCGCAGGCGAGAGATTGTAATTCCCATACAACACGGACGCGCCCGAATGTTGTAAACGACTTATAAAACTCCAACACAAATTAACATGAATTACAGTGAGATAAATGACGAAAAATGACAAATAAGGTAACTGCTGAGTTTAGTCCCTATTAAGCATGCGCAATTTACTGCAACASARAAYATTTTGAATAATTATCCATCCCACATGGAAAGCAAGCMATCTGTTGCATAAGCGAGTTYTGTTATCCGTCTTTGATTGCTTCAAAACCTAGTGAAGGTCTATGATGCGACACTAAAACTGAGACCTTTGCTAGTGTTGGGTTGTCTCAATGGTGACGACCGTGTTGTAAATCTGATACAACACTAGTGGTTGTATCAGATTTACAAGGTCAATCACCTGATTAAATGGTCAGCCCTTATTGGAGCAATAGCTTATGCATTATTAATAAGTTTTATAATTAATGATAAACATTCCTATAATCTAGATATATATACATGGTATAGAACAAAAGGCTAAGTGCTAGGCTATTTACATACAATATGTGATAGTTATGCTAGAAACAATAGGTGTGAAGGTAAAAATTACAAAGGAGAGTATACTATTAATTAAAACTGCATAGGGCTAATATTCATTTTTTTGGGCTATTATATATTCATTTTTGTGTGCCTTTCACTTAATCTCCGAACAATAGTCCTTTTGTTCTCTATTGTTTCGTCTAAGCGTTTATTTATTGCTTCAATCTGGCCAGTTAGTCACTATGCGCTCTGACTGACTTGTAAGTTGCATATAACTTGTTGCTGTAATATATCAAGATATTTGTGTTGATAAATCGAGGGCAACCTACAGCTCTCAACAAAATGTTTGTGAACATCCCCACTCCCCTGTTACAAAGTTGAGATTCTCAAAAAGAAGCCTTCGCTGACACGATGAGAACCAACTTTGAAACAGGGGTGGGGGGATAGTGGGGTGGGGGGATAGTATGGCAGCTAGATGTTCGAATATTTTTGTCGAGAGCTGTAGTCATACAACTTATGTGTTGGTAATCCAATTATGCAATGTTGATAATATTTTATGTCAAGGTTCAGCGATCGCATAAATTACTATCTGAAGAATAGGTTAATGATCACTTTTGTTCTGAGACAATAGGTCACTTGCTATAGGAGTTTAAATAACCAAGAATTATGATTTTCAGCCTTTTTATATTTCTAACTATTGATTACTATACCTCACTTCCGAGAAAACTTCCGAGAGGCCCGGAAAGGAACGAAAATTTGACCCAAAGTTGTCCGAAAGGTCCGGAAACGACCTGATTGAATAACGGACTGACTGACTGAATGACTGGCTGAATAATTGACTGAATAACTAAATGACTGACTGACTGAATGAATGACAGAATAACTGAATGACTGACTGACTGAATGAATAACTGAATAACTGAATTGACTGAATAACTGACTGACTGAATAACTGACTGACTGACTGAATAACTGAATTGACTGAATAACTGACTGACTGAATAAATGACTGACTGACTGAATGATTGAATGACTGACTGACTGAATAACTGAATAACGGAATTGAATGAATAACTGACTGACTGAATTGACTGACTGAATAACTGAATGACTGACTGACTGAATGAATGACTGACTGACTGAATAACTGAATGACTGACTGAATAACTGAATGACTGACTGACTGAATAACTGAATTAATGACTGACTGAATGACTGAATAACTGACTGACTGATTGACTGAATGAATGAGTAACTTATCAAGCTATTCGTTGCTTAGAGACCAGGCCTTTTATCAAATATAATATAAGCTCAACTTCGAAAGGGTTTGCTTCATTTGCTGTCAGACCATGAAGCGAACCTGTCCTGTTTGTAAGGCTACTAGAAGCAATCTGTGGAGTCATCTAACACTTACCCATCACATGGAGGGTGATATTCGAAAGAAATGGCTTGACTATGAAAAGAAGCATCCTAACATCATGTCAAGAGAAATTCCTATGAATTTAAACAAGGACAAGTGTGAAACATTTCGTCTGAAACACCCTTTTACCTGTATGATCTCTGGAATGACTGGATGTGGAAAAACAACCTGGGTCCAACGTCTTGTGCGCAACAAAGCTCACACTATCAAACCAACACCACAGAGAATCTTATGGTGTTACTCAAGATGGCAGCCCGCCTATGAAGAAATGATGCAGACCATACCCGAGATTGAATTTGTGCGGGGAATCCCCACCAATATTGAG